AGGCCATTTTTGATGATTAATTATGTTTGGATAAGAATACAAGTTAATCATAAAACAGTTTATGATTAATTAAGTTTATAAGTTTAAATTGTTTATTTTGTTCATTTCTTCACCCCATTATGATGTTTTGCCAATTTGTGCCTATAAATAGAGGCCTAAAAATCAGAGTTCTCACACCAAAGAAAAGTACCAAAAGTTATATAAGAGTGTAAGAGATAATAAGTAGTAGAAAATTTGGAGAAGTGAAGAATTTGAAGTAAAGAATCAAGTTTTTACTCTAGCAAGAAGGAGGTAATTTATTTATCTTAAAGTTACATGCTTATGTTCATGTTTTGATAATGAGTTTACATGGATGATATTAAGTGTTTAATAATGTTTTTAATATGACTTAGATATTAAAGTTTTATATGAATATAATTATGCTAGAAAATAAGTTATTTCCAGCTCATATATATGTTATATGTGTTCAGTTATGATGAGATTTTTACCTAGCTATGAAAAATCTAGAAATCTATGCTTCCTATGGTTATTTCGTATGTAAAAGAGGAGTACATAGGATCAAGAATCAAGTCATTTAGTTTAGTATAACTCAAGATATGAATTTTTAAAGTTTATCATGCAAGCTGAATTTTATGTACTTTTTTCCAGCAGCAACTTTAAACTTGAATAAGTCGAGATATATGCATGATAAAATTATGAAATTTTTATGACATTTCTAAATATGAGTTAAGAATATGACTGTTAAATTTCATGATTTGAAAATGAGAAATGAATGAGTTATGATAATTACAAGGCATATATGTAAAGATGAGTATATATGCAAGAATATTCATGATATGATCAAGTTATTAAAGTGAGATTATTATGATCAATTCTCATATAAGTGATGAGCAATTTGATAAAGTTTTAGTTTAATATGTGGAGTATATAATCTTATAAAGATTGTATTAAGTATGACATATTAATATCATGATTAAATGTTATGATTAAAAGTTGAAGTAGGACTTGAGTTTATTTTCACTTTCAAGTTAATTAAGTGAAAATTTAATATAAGCTAATATTTAAAATTTGGGAGATATGATGTATGATGAATTAAGTATTTGATTGAGTAAAAATTTAAGAAAAAGTTAAGTTGTTTGATGACTTAATATTTATTTGAGACATATTAAGCTTATTGAATATCTTTAAGATTCGGATAAGTAAGAGTTAAATCTTATTGAGTATACGAGCATAGTACTTAGTATATTTGTTTATATGTTTATGTAGCTTGCAGATATAGCTACCAAGAGCAACATTTATATTTTTCAAAAGTTTTCAAAAGAAGAAAGGTGGGGACCCAGACTGAGTATTACATTGAGTATAATATTGATATCATGTCCGAGGTCAGTTTATACGCTTGGGATGAAGAGGCATTCAATTGTCTCAGAGTATATCCTCAGTTCTGATGGAGGCCGTTTGAGTTGTCTTGAGAAATATCCATCAGATTGTGCACAAGTATCCGATCAGATATCGGCCAGATTCAGTTTAAGTTACTGGAACAGATTTCCAGTCCAAATATATACCAAAGATCATGATAATGTATTATTATTGTTGTTTACTTTAGTATGGGTGATTTCGGGGTACAAGAGGATCAGTACTCACCCCCATTGTGTTTTTCAGGTAACAAGGTCGGGCCGGAGGTGTGAGCTCGAGATGTGGTGGTGGTGGTCGTGCACTTATTTCAAGTGGACATTTATTAAGTATTTGACATGTCTGTATAATAAACCACGTTTTTAAGTATTTCCGCTATGCACATTAAGTATTGAACTTGCATTTTTAATAAATTTCAGATTTCAAGTTTATACCATTTCGAGAAGTACGAATATGGTACAGTTAAATGCAAGTTTAAAGGAAATCTGTTTTCTTTAGGTCTAGAGAAGTATTAGACAGAAAGTTTAAAGATAAATAGATTTTCAAGAAGATGAGTTTGAGTAGCATCTCGAGTTAGTCACAAAATATTTCGAAAGAGTTATAAGTATTTTCGAAGTAAAAGTTGCGAAAAATTTACTCTGATGAGCGGGGTGTTACAATGGGTAACATCTCTAATAAAATCTTGTTCTTTTATTCTCGTGACTACACTTGTCGGGTCATCTGTGATACTGAGCAGATGTTGCACATCGAGCTTTCTGCTGCCCATCTTCGTGAGCCCATCTTCGACACTCTGGTCTATGCCAAGTGTACGAGTGTCGGGCGCTACGCTCTTAGGGACACCTTGCGTGAGATTGCTGAGAGTATGGAAGGATTACTATGGATGGTCAACGCAGATTTCAACACCTTTTTACTTCACGAGGAGTAGCGTGGGGGTTCGATTAGACCGTTCAGTGGAGATGGGAGATTTTGCGTAAGCTGTGGACGACTGTGAGTTAATTGACGCTGGTTGTAAGGGTTCCCCTTTCACGTGGAAGCAAAGCGGTGCTGAGGAGATGATTAACCGTGCTCTAGTCTCTGAGCCATGGGCGTGGGTGTTTGCGGTCACGACCATCATGCACCTCTCTCGTTTTAGGTCTGACCATGCTCCACGTCTCATCCAGAGCTGCTTCCCGTGCGCCTCCCGCCGCTCTTCTTTCAGGTTCCAAAACATGTGGATCCGTCACCGCACGTTTCAAGACACTGTTAAAGCCTCTTGGCAGCAGCCGTCTGGGTTCTTCAGGATGCGCAACTTAGAGGCCAAACTTGAGAGGCTGCGGCGCATGCTGAAGCAGTGGAATTGGGATGTTTTTGGAGATTTGTATCAGCGACTTTCTGACCTCAGTGGCAGGTCGATTGAGTTCATTTGGTGAAATTTAAGAGACTATTGGTTGACCTCGTAGGCAGGTCGATGGTTTTTTACTTGATTTTGGTTTTGTCGAATTTGTTTTTCGACCTCAGGGGCAGGTCGATGGAGTTTATTTGGAGCATTTCACATAACTTATTGGAGACCTCAGAGGCAGATCGATGGGTTTTTACTTGAATTTGGTTTTTTTGAATTTGTTTTCCGACCTCAGTGTCAGGTCGATGGAGTTCATTTTGTGCAACTCATGGAGACTATTGGCTGACCTAAGAGGCGGGTTAATGGTTTTTTAGTTGATTTTGGTTTTGTCGAATTTGTTTTTCGACCTCAGTGGCAGGTCGATGGAGTTCATTTGGTGCAGTTCATGGATACTATTGGCTGACTTCGGAGGCATGTTGATGGTTATTTACTTGATTTTGGTTTTGTCGCATTTGTTTTTCAACCTCAGTGGCAGGTCGGAGTTCACTTGGAGCAATTCACGGAGTCAGGTTATTTAGGTCGATTGTTTTATTGAGTTTGGTTTTGTCGAATTTGGTCTTTCGACATGAAGGTTACGTCAGGACATTTAGTTTTTGAAAGTGGAAACGACAAGGTTGAATTTTAAATTTTGAACTGAGGGCGACAAGGCGAGGTGGTCAAAAAGGTTTATCTTGGAGAGAAGAAGAGCTCGAACATGGTGGTCGAAAAACAGCAGACGTAAGTTCAATTTTCAAATTCAAGACTTCAACGGCGGATCATTCGGTTTTCGACCTCAACGACGAATCATTCGGTTTTCGACCTCAACGGCGGATCATTCAGTTTTCGACCCCGTCGGCTGCTATTTGGTTTTTGAAAGGTCATTTGTTCTTCGGCATCAACGGCATATCATTTTGTTTTTGACCTCAGTGGAAGGTCATTCGGTCTTCGATCTCAACGGTGGATCATTCGGTGTTTAACACATGTGGCGCGTTACTCGATTTGCGACATTAGTGGTCATTCGGTCTTTGGTGTTCACCCCAGTGGTGGGTCACTCAGTTTTCGACCTAGTGGTGGGTCACTCGATTTTCAATCTCAATGGTCAGTCAGTTTTTGGTTTTCGACCCAAGTGGCGGGTCGCTCGGTTTTCGACCTCAATGGTCATTTAGTGGTCATTAGGTCATTCGGTCTTCGATGTTCGACCCCAGTGGCAGGTCACTCAGGTTTCGACCCTAGCGTCAGGTCATTCGGCTTTTGACCTCAGTTCAAGGTCATTCGGTTTTCGACCTCAGTGGTCGTTAAGTTCTCTACCTCATTGATAGGCCCTTTGGATTTCGACCTCAGTGGAAGGTCATTCGATTTTCGACCTCAGTGCGGTCTCTCGATGCTTATTTGGAGGTTATTAGGTGGTCACTCAGGATATTTGGTGACTATTTGGTGGATGAAGATTTATTCGAATTATACCCGCAGTGGCAGGTTGACAGAAACAGCCAGAAGGCGCATTTCACTCTTGGATCGAGTTATGCTCACTCGACCGGAGTGTGGGTGACTAGATGATATGGGATTTTATACTAGATTGGTTTTAATTGATAAAAAGAAATATATTTTGGGAATAAGCCTACACAGGGCTAGGACACGTCGCATGATAGTATTGGTCAATCCCAACTTGGGCCCTAATGTACACTCTCCCTATAAAAGAAGGCTGAGGTATCTGAAAAACATATTCTCTCTTAATTCACTACTAAACTCACATTTTTCACTCTTGATTTAGAGCGAGTGCTGACTTAGGCATTGGAGGTCCGACGCAGGGATCCCCCCGCCCACCCTAGGTTGGGTTCCTGCAGATACGTAGGTCGTCCGAGTTGAAGGAGCCTGGTTCCATTTCACTACCATGTATGTATATGAGTAATTTGCCCAAGCGGGGAGTTCAGTTCATTATTTGCTAAGCGGAGCATTCAGTCATGAGATAGCTATCTTGGCTAAGCGTGATTTTCTACAGCTTCGTGAGCAAGCAAATAAATTAATTTAGGTGCACAAGAGTTGTATTCTATAATAGAAGATTTTCTACAGTTTCTTAAGTTGTGGAGTAAGAAAGAAATTTTTTTGATAAAAAAAGTGTATAAAAAATGTATGTATACATTGGAGCAATAAGTTTTAGAAAAAAGTCACCACGCATATACGGCTAGAAAAGCCCTAAATTTCATAGAAAACCTAATCCTCTAATCCGGCTGCAAAGCGTGCCTTCCCGCAGCAGGGCCTTCGGGCCACCACGACGGCAGCGTCCTCCGAGCCGTGTGGTTGAATTTCGTAGACTCGTTGGAAGTGGCAGTGGCCTTTTCCTCGGGCGAGATGGCAGGTCCTTCCCTTGGGTTTCGCCTTCTTGCAAGTTGCCAAGGTGGGTCGGGGTCCGACGATTCCTCGGATTCTAGGTGGCGGCGGGCTTCCGGCGAGGCTGTGAGTGAAGGTTGTGGCTCCTTTTATCCGCTCGGGGGTAGGTGGGGTGGTAGTCGAGGCTGAGATCAGGGCAGTTTTGCTCTCCTCCCTTCTCCTGTTTTGCTCTACTTTTGGGGCCTTTGGGTTGTGTTAGCGGAGTCAGATCGGGTCGCGGTGGGGTCTTGTGTCCTGGAACTGGGTTGTCGGGCCTTGGGAGGTGGAGTATGTTGTGGATCTCCGGCTGCAGGTCTTGGGGTTGTCTACCCGGGCGAGGGTTTAGGTTCTTTAGTCTCAGATTTGGTTAGGCGATTTATCTGTAGTTTTTGAATTTTCGGCTTGGACCGCGTCTTGTCCGTGAGGGTAGTCGGCCTTGGGTGTCAGCGTCGTTGGTGTTTGGTTTGACTAAACTGCTGTGGGAAGGGCTTTACTTTTTGTTGTTTTGTGTTCTTTTGTTCTGTTTGTGTTATGCTGTAAGTGTGCGTTTGTGTTTTCTCCGTTTGTTGAGTGTCTATTCTCCCGTTGGAGAGTGTGTATTCTCTCCTTGGGGAGTATTTTGTATTTTCGTTGTGTTGTGTTGTGTTGTGTTGCAGTATTTAGGCTACCATTGGTAGGCCTCCATATTCCGGCTACTGAGCCGGTTATAAGTATGTGTTTTAGTAGTGAATTCTATCATTTAAAAAATATATATCTATGTGTGTATATATATATATATATATATATAGGGGCTAGTTCAAATAAAAACTAATCCTGGTGTGAGAACCGTGAAAACTGTATTTGATGCTATTTTTAATTGTGTATGATGCTATTTTCCATATTAAATGATGCTATCATTTTTATAAATGTTAATAGAAATTGTGTTGCTATTTTAATAAAATTCATCTTAGTTAAAAATAGCACTAAACACAATCAATCATAGCACTATGTACAAATAAAAGTAGCGGTTCTCACGGTTCTAACGCTAGGACTTGGTTCTCATTTGAACCTCATCCTATATATATATATATATATAGATGAGATCATATGAGAATGGTAGCTAGTGAAAGAAATAAGAATAAATTTGTACCATTGAATCCAACGCATCAATGGACATGATTATAGCGCCCCATTTGTTCTGGATTTTTTTGAGATTATTATTATTTATTTTTATTCTTATTCGTGCTTGATTATTATTTTCTATTTCAATTATGTGCTCGTAATTGTCTAATTGTTTTATTGAGTAAATTTAATATCGAGCCGAATCGTGAATTATTTGAATTAATTGTCTATAGAGTATAACTGCACGATATTATCTGTTTAGACTTATTATTAATTAATTAGATGTAGTCTAATTAATATAATAAGTCATGTAATTTTATTTGATATTCGTCGTCAATCGTGTTAATCGGAAATTGTTGTTATCGCGTATATATTTTTTTTATTATTTTCGGCCCATAGCGAATTATTTTTCAGCCTTTATGCCGAGTTAAATTTAACCCGATTTAATTTGATTCCCGACCCTATTCATGTGATATATTCCAGCCCAAGATGATTTTCTCCTTTAGGCCCAACCTAACGCATGAGCTTAAGCGGCCCAATTGAAGTTAAAAATCTGCTACCTATTTTTCATTTTCCCTCACGTGCGAATAAGAACCAGTCGTCTCCTTCAAGCAGTTCAATATGTAGTTGCGATTTTTCTGTAGAAATCTCCCCACTTCGCTCGTCACTCTCTTGCCCACATAAGATCCGGGCGAGGGGTCCTTCTCCCCCAGAAACATTCAAATTTTGTTCTCTGTTCACTCTCATCTCTCTCTCAGCCTGCTCTCGTTTAAAAAAAAAATAAAAAAGAAATTATTTTTTCGCCGCGGGTCTGCCTCCATCTCCGGCGACCATCACCAGTCCGGCGAGACTCTTTGAATCGGCGCTCACCTCGCGAGCAGCCTCTTTCCGTCACCGTTCAGTTCACCTCTCCGTCACAGCAAGCCGGCGACCCGTCTGCCATTAATTTCGGCAAGACTGTCATCTCCGGCAACCGTTCGAAGAAGCTGACGTCCACGCGAGCCTGAAACCAACGTCCTTCCACGCTCGCGAGCAACCCTCAGCCCGTTCGAAGGAGCCCGGCGGGCCGTTAGTGAGCAGTAGCAGTTTGTCGAGTTTTCGAGTTTTCCGTTCGCCTCGTCCGATTTTCATCCAAACTCGTAAATTCCAGAAGAGAGGTAATCGGCAAACTCCTTGTTTTATTTTCGAGCTCGTATACTGTCGTTGGTTCTATTGTACTCGTGAATCGTTTCGTTGGTTTCAGTTGAATTATATGTTCTCGGTTCGTTTATTTGTTCATTTGGTATTTTGTGAATTTCTAGTGGATAATCGAACTCTTGTTTGTTGTCAAATCAAGCTCTTGGTTACTGTGGTTAATTCGTTTTAGTGCGGAGTCTCGTTTATTGTTTCGAGCATTGCCGTCGTGGTTGTGTCGTTTGTTGTTTTCGAGATATTTTTGTCATTTTGTTCTCGATTTAAAAACCCGGTTTTTCTAAAGTTTCGAAACTCTGAAAAGGTGCTATTTTTGTAAATTGTAATTTATCGAACCCAGAGCGTGCAACAACATCCCAGCAGCGCCTTTAGACCTTCCCAGCGCGGCCCAGTTGGCTTTTTAGTCCAAATTTGAGTTCCAGAAGCCCGTTTTTCGTACTGATCTCGATTTTAAAAATTATTTTCTAATGAGCAAATTTTTGGAAAAATTATTGTAAGTCTCGAGACTACATTTTCATTCTCCGAGTCTTATTTTTCCAAACTTCGAGAGTTTCAAGTCCGCGAGAAATTCCGATTAAACCCCTTAATCATTATTTTTGATTATGTATGATTTTAATGTTAATTCCAAGTAGTGTGATAAATTTTTGATTATTATCTAGCTTAAATGTAGATGTTTGAGGAGTCGAGCCTCACCGACCTACCGATCTGTTTGTGTGATTTTTCTACTCAATTTTCAGGTGGGTACATTTACGTTGTATCTATAATTATCGCACTCGTTATTTCGTATAAGTGTTTGTTTCGATAGCTTTTGTATACGTGAGAACCCTAGTCTAGGTGTCCTGTTGTTAGTGCCTTTGACGAATGCATAAACAGTGGGAGGTCGTCGGCCCGTAGTTGATTCAGGAGGTGGACGCCCCGGTCCATGTGTTATTCGGAAGGTAAAAAACAGCTCCACTGTCTCCTGGAAAGGATCCCATGATCCGTGTGTTGTTCGGGGTGGGAAGGTTTCCAGTTACATTCTTGCCAATATCTGGTCAGAAGGTTTGTTGTATGTACATAGGAGGTTTGCGATAAGGCTATGTAGGGAGTTAGACCTGGATTCTATGCATACATTATTTATGGTTTTGAATCTTTATGCGGGATATACTGTGCGATAATGGTGAGCATAATGGTTTGCTCACCCCCATTACTTTTCTCTTTGTCTCATCTTCCTTTGTGTAGGTTGAGCATGGCTGGCGGCGGCGGCGTGAAGACGATCGAGTGGTGGTCATTTGTCGATTGGGTTCATTGTCTTATGCTTCCGCCTATTATGACTTTGTTGATCTATTTCTTTAACTTTGACTATTTCCTGGTTTAGTTTGGATACTTTGTTGTTGTTGGATGGAACTTTTGGAATTATGTTTAAATTTTACGGTTGGTTTTGGAACATGATAAATAATTGGTTTAAACTTATATGGATGTTTGTTTATGCATGTTTAAGTTCTATTTAAGTGTTCGTACTTGTTTAATTGTTGTTGGTAGATAAGTAGCGCCCGTTTAAATTAAATTTTAAATTGAGATTTGCAAAAAAAATAAACTCTGATTTCTATAAATAAATTCAGTAAATTCTTTAAAATAAAACGGGGCGTTACAGTGTGGTATCAGAGCTAGTCTGCGTTTCTGTAGACTGTCTCTAGTGTTAGTGTATTTAATGACCATTCGACCACTCGCTTTCGTCTCGCCACGCCAGTGCGAGGTATGAGTTTTATTTGTTTTGCTTATCTTATACGGGGCTTAGGAAATTTATCCACCGTTTATTTATGATGAATTCTAGAATATTATTTTTGTGCTAAATTCTTTTCGGCCTGTTCAATGTAGAACTATGGCTCATCGTAACACTCGCAACACCGCTCACCGTTTATTTATGATGAACTCTAGAATATTATTTTTGTGCTAAATTCTTTTCGGCCTGTTCAATGTAGAACTATGGCTCATCGTAACACTCGCAACACCCGCAACAACAGGCACCCGACCCCGCCTCCATCCCCACCTCATCAGCAGGCTCCGCCTAATCCGAATCTGGACTTCCCGAGGCTCTTAGTCCAATTCAAGGGCATGCACCTACCCAGCTTTTTGGGGACCGAGAACCCCACCGCGGTGCTTGAGTGAATGAAAGAACTTGACAAGATCTCTGTTGTGCTTCCTCTTTCTGATGCGAACCGCGTCTCTCTTGCCGCTTTTTAGATGAAAGCGGATTCATCCGATTGGTTGCTTGACTACTGGGCTTTGAAGACAGTGGCTGAGCGTAATGCTATCACTTGGGACCGGATGAAGGAGATTGTCAGGGGCAATATCCTCCCACACAGCTTTTGTGACCAAATGGAGCACGATTTCTGGCATCTGCAGCAACGCAACTCTAGCGTTGATGAGTATACACGCACACCAAGATGAGCATCTTCGTGGGTGAGATGGTGAACACTGATGAGAAGAAGGCCCGGAAATTTTTGAAGGGGCTGAACTAGAGGATCCCTGAGCTAGTTGGGAGTCACGGTTTGATGTCCTATGCTGACACTGTGAGTCGGGCACAGGAAGTGGAGAGCTGTCTCATTCCGATAGCGTCAGCTCCCTCGTACTACCATGCTTCGCAGCCTGTTCAAACTGCACCACCAGCCATTTCTCCGCCATCTTATCAGCCGCCGATCATTCCGCAGATAGCTTATAAGTATCCTGTCCCTTATGCTCCAGCTCCCCTATCCTCTAGCTCTGGCAAGAGGAAGAATGATCATCCGAACCGAAAGAAGGGCAAGCGCCTTAACCATGGTCACCGAAAGCAGCATCAGCCCATTGCGCAAATTTCTCAGCCTATCCGCCAGTTTCCTGCTGGGCCCCCGCCATGTGGAGAATGTGGGCGAGTCCATGAGGACAATATGTGTTGAGTCATCGACATAACCTGCTACAACTGCCAGAGGAAGAGTCATTACTCCCGTCACTGCCCAGGACCCCGGAGGCCTAGCTATTGTAAAAAAATTGTACCTTCTTCTACTTTGTTGCCAAGTCTAGATGCTCCTACCAATCTATCATTGCTAGTTTCACGAGAATCGCTTTTAATTTCCAAATTTCCCCAAACACCCAAAGATTATGGGTTCTCAAAAGCCACCATAATATATAAGTTGTAAGCTGAATGGGGCTTCTGAGATTCCAGTGTTTCTAATTGAGTGCCACCACTAAGATTTGAAGCTACAACTCTCTCTTTGAATCTCATCCCAATGCCAAGGTGCCAGTTTCCACACCCTCTGTGCTTTGTTGATTTGAAAAAAAAAGTTGTTCCAACTTTTCTTCTTCTTCTCGACATTAGAAATGTTTTAATTTTCCTTTCACCCTCAATCTCCAACTTTTTTGACTAGCTTGGCAATCTACTTTGGACGATGCACTTCCTTCTGGTCTATCAAGCTTGTGAACTTAAAAAAATAATCTCTCTCTCTCTCTCTCTCTCTCTCTCTCTTTAATTTTTCTCCTCCTTCTTTCTAGCCCTTTTCTTCTTCCCCCTTCCTTTTTTTCTTCCTTCTATCATTTCTGGTCATCATCTTAGTTTTTTCTATTTTTAGTTCCGACCGACCGTCACCGGCGGCGGCCAGTCTCCGGTCTTCCCGTTAGCTGTTTTTTTCTTACTTTTTTCTTTTACCTGTTTTGTAGTCCAGTTCGGTTTCTGTCCAGTTCTTTAGTCCCCATCTTGTTGCCTCTGTCCGGCTTCATGGCCCTCGTCATCGAGAGCCTGCCGGATCCAGGTATTTTTTTTTTCTGGCCATCCGGGCATTGCAGCTTCGCCGACAGTAGGTGAGAAGTTGGTTCTGACGCCGACAGCAGAGGGAATGCTTTTCCAGTCACCAGCAGCATGAGGTGATTTTGGTGCTCACGGCGGCGGCGTCACCGCCGTCCCTTCAGGCCCGTCTTTGCTGACGCACAGCCTCACCGTTGTCACTTTCGGAGAGCCAACATCGTCGCCACCATCTCTTGAGGAGAAAATTTAACGAGTGGTCGTCGTACTCATGGCCACGTTCCCGGAGTTAGTAGCCTCGCCATCACCAGCTGTCTCTCTCGCTGAGCTGCCATCTTCGAATTGCTCTCCCCTTGTCGAAAACTTTGTCTCCTCTGGCCAGTCAACAAACCTCTGCGAAGTTTGGCCGCCGCCTTGGATGGTCAATAGGAAATTGCCCCAATCACCTTTTATCCTCTTGCTATGTGGTAAGGTTTGAGAAGCACGGGCGAGACATGGCCATTTCCCAGCCAAGTTGGCGTTTTTCTCATTTGGACCATTTGAGCCACTTGCCTTTGGATAGGACCATAGCACATAGACCCACAGATTAGGTAAGTACCAGGCTTTCTATCTCTTTTGGCTCGTTAGGCCAGCTTCCTGTGCCCAGCCAACCTGTTTCCCTCACCCAAGCCCAACTCACCCCCTCAAAACCCAAATACCATCCTTCCCAGCCCAGCCCCACACACGTAGCCCAAACACATCAGCAATATCTATTTGTCCCATTTTTATTGCGTTTTACGTTGTTATTTTGTCTTTCTTTTTCCCCCATATTAGGTCTTTTAGTTGGTTTTGTAGTTTATTATGTGTTTTGCTCTATTTTGATTTTTTATGTGTTTTTCGTGTATTTTGTCAGTTTTCTATGTTTTTCTTCATATTTTACGTGTGCAGGTCAAAAGCCCCATGAGGAATGGATTTAGCCCAAAATCTGAGTCGGCAAGCATGGTTGAGTAGAATGGTTCGTTAGCTACATTTAGAAAGGAGAAGAACTCGATTTTGAGTTCAGACCAATCCGAACGGGACCGAAACGTAAAGTCCAGCAAGCTGTCGACCCTTTGAAGGTTGGAAAGCTCTAGAGGATTGTACTATTGGCAAAATCTGGTCATGAAAGAATCATTGAATAGAGGGTTCGTTAGCGACGCGTAGAAAAAAATGAAATTCGATTTCGAGTTCGGACGAGCCCAAACGAGCCCCAGAAGCAAAATAGTGCTGGAAGCAAGCAGCCAGCGCACCACGGCGCGAGCAACCTCCACGGCGCAACACAACTCCCCACCACAGCGTGAAGCACCCACCACAGCGCGGCACGACCTTTCTCCGTGCCGTGGAGCCTCTGCGACCCCGACAGAGACTTCCCTGGCCTCCCAACACCGCGCCGTGCCATACCTCGAGCCGCGGTGCCCACTCCCCTCGCGCCGTGCTCGAATTTTCCACGACGTGCCACCAAATCCTATATATATACTTCGACAGAAAATCAATTCTCCACTTCTGGAGATGAACCCTAGCCTATAAAAAAACACGACAGAGCTCTTTTTCTCTTTCTTTTCTTCCCTTCTTCTTCTTCTTCGTTTTTCTTCTTCTTTTTATGTTTCTTTTTCATTTTTATTCTTCTTCTTCTTAGTATTCGAGGATTAAGCCTGTAATTCAGATTCAATACTTGGATTTGGGATTAATTGTAAGAATTTCTTTCTCTTATTTAATTCATGAATAATGGTTGATTTGAGAGGAATGATTATGTGTTGAATTTGATTTACGTAGCTAATTCCTGCTGCTAGGGATAGGGGATGATTATTATTGTTTGATTCGTATATGTCAGGCTTGATTTGTTCATGCTTATGTGAGTTGATATAATTCAAAATTGATGAATTTGAGTTTGATTGATTGATATAATCGAAGAGTGATACTTCGATCTTGCGATTGGAAACGATTGAATGTCAATTTGTCGAGTTAGGGTTTGTCAATTCCATATGATTAGTTGATTAATCACTTCTAGTTAATTAGCGACTGGTAGATCCGAAAGCGGAGAAGTCGTAGATCTAGGCTCGCATGAGGTAGATGATTTTGTAATGGAGTAGTCTATAGGTTTTGGATTGAAATACGTGCTTGTCAATGACCCGTCCTTTGTTACGAAAAGTTATTGGGAATGGGATAATTGGCCTGTGTCGTATGCTCGAGTTTGTTCGTCTGCGTTCAATCCCTTGTTACGAAGAGTTATTGGGAGCGAACCGCTAGATGTCTAAGCAAGAGTGTCAATCTCGAACCGAGCGATTAATTAGCCGGCTTTGCAAGAACTTGAATTAATTATCTCCAATTCCCTAGCTTCTTCATCTTTGTTCCGTTCATATGTTTAGGTAGATTATTTCTTTTTTATTATTTCTTAGTTATAATTATTCAATTCCCTTATCTGATTAGAGTGTTTAAGATTTATTTTCTTTTTGTGTGTAATCGATACCAAAGCTAAATTTTGAACCGCCTTCCTCTAGATATCGACCCGAGGAACGAATCTCTGATTCTGTACTCGGTAAAAATAACAATTTGTGCTACAACAATCTCTATCCTCACATTCAAACCTCCCACTCAACCCCCAGCCCCCTAAATCAGTTCAACCCATCCCCACTGTTGTGTACAAATTATTTTTATTTTACTGAGTATGGAATCGAATGGGTCGTTCCCTACGTCAAAGGCGATTCGGAATTTAGAAGTGGTGTTGATAACACATAAAAGGAAAATAAATCCTAAACATTCTAATAAAGATAGGGTCGGAACAAATTACTAACTAAGAAATAGCATAAAACATAAATCTACCTAAAAATATAAATGAAACAATGATAAAGAAGCTAGGAAGTCGGGGATAATTATTTCGAGTTCTATTCGCAAAACTAGGCCATTAATCGTTCGGTTCTAGATTGACTCTCTCGCCTAAACATCTAGCAGTTCGCTCCCAATAACTCTTCGTAACAAGGGGTTGAACATAGACGAGTAAGTCCGAGAATAGAACACCCGCCAATTACCCAATCCCAATAGCTTTTCATAACAAGCGAAGGGACATCGACAAGCATGTACTTCAATCCGAAACCTATAGACTATTCAATTTACGAAATCGTCTATCCCGTACTAGCCTAGTTCTACGAATTCTCCCCTTTCAGTTCTAAAAGTTGCTAATTGAATTAGAAGGTATTTAATCAACTAATCATTTAGCATCAACAAAACCTAACTTGACAAATCAATATTCAATTGTTTCCAATTGCAAGATCGAAGTGTCACTCTTCAATTACATCAATCAATCAAGCAAGAATTCATCAATTTCTAATCAAATCAACTCGCACAAGGATGAACAAATTAAAGGCCGACAAATACGACTTAATCAAGAACAATCATCCCATATCCCTAGCAATCGGATTTAGCCAAGCAAACTAAATTCAACACAATCAATCATATTGTTTGTCCCATTTTTGTTACGTTTTTTCTTCTTATTTTTCATTTCTTTTTCCCCTTTTTCCCCCGTTTTAGGTCTTTTCGTTAGTTTTTATTCGCTTTTATAGTTTATTGCACGTCTTGTTTCATTTTAGTTTTCTATGTGTTTCTTGGGTATTTTTTCGGTTCTCGTCTTTGGTGTGCACAATGGAAGGCTTGGGAGGATTTATTTTTCACGATAATGGGACCGGGAAAACTTAGCTGAGTAGAGCTTTTCGTTGGCGATACACAGGAAAGACGGAATCGAATTTGGGTTCCGAACGAGCTCGAACGAACACAAAATGCAAGGTGATGCAACTAGGCCCGAGCACCCAGACCCTCGCGCACGAGCGCCGTGCCGTGATGCCCGTCACGCGTGTACTGGGACTCACCTTTCCAGCACCGCGCCGCGAAGCCCAGCACGCTGCCGCAGTATCTCCTTTCCACGCCGCGGCACATCACGCGACGCACGCCATGGGACTTCAAAGGACTCGCCCAACAACGCTCTGCGCCGCGAAGCCTCCACCACGCCGCGACGCTCGCACCCGCCACGCCGCGAACACCCACCACGCCGCACCGGACGAGCTTCCTGTGCCGTGCCGCACCAACATCGCGTCGTGGACCCTCTCTGCTATATAAATGCGCGTACGACGATCAGAAAAGAGATCTTTCATTCCAGAAACGACATAACCCTACCTCCTTCGACTTTTGAACTAGGTTTTCATTTTTTTTTCATATTTTTGGAACGTAGAACAAGGATTTGAACTTGGATTTTGCTATTGCTTTTGGATTCAAGCTTGTTATTTGAATTCAACTTTGGGATTTATCAATCGTAAGATTCTCTTTTAATTTATTCGTTAAATATGAGTTCTTGGGTTGAGATTTCTTGTGTTGGTTATTTGATTATGAATAACTCAATTCATATGCTAGGGATAGGGGATTGATCTTTTGATATCGTTTGTGATTGTCGGGCTCAGAATTGTTCAATTTCATACGAGTTGATCTTTTTCTAAGGTTTTTCAATTGTCGGGCTCGAGTATTTAGAATTGTTGAAGGGTGACACTTCAATTCCAAATTGTTTGCAATTGAGTTCCATATATTCTTGTTTGATGTTGGTTATTCTAAACGGACTAGTTGATTAAACACCTTCTAGTCTACTTTAATCGACTCTTAGAACCGAAAGGGGAGGAGTCGGTCGAAATAGGCTCGTATGAACTAGGCTTGTTCGTAACTGTATTGCCTAGTAGTTAAATGAATTGTTAATTTGCCGTTCTAGTTTGTTCTCTTGTTACGAAAAGTTATTAAGAATGAGTGTTTGAACGTGTCGATTAGTCAAATCACTTAACCAAACAATCTCTTGCTTGATAATTGCATTTTCAAACCAAAACGGATATCCCCGACTCCCTAGCTCCTTAAATCCTACTTGTTGTTCGTCATTGCTTGCTAATTCTATTTTCTTTATTTGAAGTTTTTCTTCGTAGTTAATAATCAAACCAATCATTAGAATTAGAATGTTTAGGAAATTTTATTTTCTTTTGTGTGGTTGAATAAACGTGCATAATAATCCGGCTAACCTTCCTTGAGAGACACGACCCGGTGTTCGAATCTTTTGATTCTACTCCGGAAAATTATTTA